AAACCTTCAAATCTGGAAACCTTTTAATCACTACCTCATTGAATATTGTTTTTCTACTACTCTAATCTCTCCTAAAATTTCTTTTGGATATTGAACTTATGTTTGAATCTCTCAATCTATACTTTTTTTTCCACTTCTCTCCTACTACATTCTTGGTGAATTCCTTAATACTATTTTCCAAATCACCGTTTCACGGACCATGTTCAGTCTAGTATAAATCTAATGACATCTTTCTTAATATAAGTTGTTTTTTTATTATTATTATTAAAGACAGGGTCTTGCTCTGTTGCCCTGGCTGTAGTACAGTGGCACAATCATGGCTCACTGCAGCCCGGACCTCCTGGGCTTAAGCGATCCCTCCCACCTCAGCCTCCTGAGTAGCTTGAGCCCACAGGTATGCACCACCACATCCAGTTAATTTTTCATTTTTTGTACAGATGAGGTTTTGCTATGTTGCTTAGACTGGTAATTTTGGTTCTTTTATGGCTATTATTCCTTCCTTTACCTCCCTGAGGATCTTAAACATATGCTTTAAAATTGTTCTATTATTTACACTTAGAGACTAAGGATTCACTTGAATATCAATTATTCCCACTCCTGCACAAAAGAAAACATACTGTAAATACTGTATCATGATTCCCTTTTTTCCCCACTAAACAACAAAACTTAGGAGATATTTCTGTATCAGTACACAGAAAACATTCTCTCTTCTTTCTGATGAAGATGTTGACTTGGTTATTTTAGATTTAGTTTTTCTTGTATATTTTCAAATTTTTGCTTGGCAGGTTCATTATAACTCCAAGTTACATGGTGGGTGGGTGGGTGGGTGTCTGTGTGTGTGTGTCCTTCTGTGCTTACCTCATCCTAACAATTTTTCATTTTCTGCCATCTCTCACCCAAACCTCCCACCCCAGAATGAGGTCTTGTAATTGCCACAGATGTCTCCTCCTGAAGATCCAGATCCTAAGTCACGGGCAGGTAGGCCCAGCTTTTATCCAGAAGGCTGTCAATGCCTCCTTCCACCACTCTGGACTTGTAATTTACATAAGCCATATCCCTAACCAGCAGTCATACATTCTTTTTCAGAATTTTCCTGATTCACACTCTTCTAGTTTCTGGGGTAATAAAAACAGGCTGTTCATCTCCCTTCTTCAATCTGTCTACCAATATACAGTAGAGTTTTGGTCTCTATCCTGCAGACGACCTCTAAGAGGCATCTTCCTGCTTGTCAAACAGATTTTGATAGATTCATGTATTCAGTTTCTATTTAACACTTTGTCTTTTTTTTTTTTTTTTTTTGAGACAGAGTCTTGCTCTATCACCCAGGCTGGAGTGCAGTGGCATGACCTCAGCTCACTGCAACCTCTGCCTCCCGGGTGTACAAGCAATTCTCTGCCTCAGCCTCCCAAATAGCTGGGATTGCAGGCACCCACCACCATGCCCAGTTAATTTTTGTATTTTTAGTAGAAACAGGGTTTCACCACTTTGGCCAGGCTGGTCTTGAACTCCTGACCTCAGGTGATCTGCCCACCTTGGCCTCCCGAAGTGCTGGGATTACAGGTTTGAGCCACTGTGCCCCGCCTTTTTTTTTTTTTTTTTTTTTTTTAAAGGAATGAAAAGTCTCAGCCGGGTGTGGTGGCTCAGGTCTGTAATCTCAGCACTTTGGCAGACAGGGCACGTGGATCACCTAAGCTCAGGAGTTCAAGACCAGCCTGGCCAACATGGTAAAACCCTGTCCCTACTAAAAATACAAAAATTAGCCCAGCATGGTGGGGTGACTGTAATCCCAGCTATTCAGGAAGCGGAGGTTGCAGTAAGCCAAGATTGCGGCACTGTACTCCGTCTCAAAAAAAAGAGAGAGAAATCTCCGTCCCAATTTTTCTATTTATTCAGTTCCTCTCCCTTTTCTCCAGATAACGCATGTTAAGATTTCCTCGTCCATTCTTTCCAAGTCTGTGCGTGTACAAAAACATATGAATATAAATTATGTAGCCCCAGAAATTTGCCTTTTTTCTTACAGCTGCATGGTATTCCATTATATGGTTTTTCCATAATTTATTTGACTAATCCCCTACTGATGGACATCTGGATTCTCACCTTCTGCTATTACAAACCATAGTACGAAATAATCTGATACATGTATCATGTGGTAAGTGTGCAAGTATAAGATAAATTTCAGAAAATTCAACCTGTTGGGTCAATACATTTTTGCTCTGGCAGATAATGACCAATTGCCTTCCACAGGGGTTATTTCAGTTTGTATTCTCAACACCAATGTATGAGCAGCTCTTCCCCCAAAGCTCTACAACCAATAGAGTATGTTGCCCAACTTTTATGTTTTTGCCTAAAAGGGGAACTATAATCATTACAGTTTTAATTTATCTTACTGTGAATGAGGTACTGGCCTCATTAGCTTAAAAGCCACTCATATTTAATTTTCTGTGCATATCTATCCATATATTTGCTCGTTTTTTATGGAGTTGCAAGGTCTTTTTCTTGTCGAGTTTCCAAGTACTACTTTTTTTTTTTCCCAAGTACTTCTTATATGTATATTAGGAAAGCTACCCTTTGTCTGTGATTTAAATTACCACTGAGTTTTGCTAATTCCCAACTGTAAATAAGTTTTGGTTGCAAGTAAGTTTTGCTGAAACTCTATATCCACTGAACAATTTCCTTTTCCCCCTTAGCCTAGCCACCACCATTCTACTTTGTTTCTAGGAGTCTGACTACTCAAGATATCTCACATAAGTAGGGTCATGCGGTAATTGCCTTTTTATGGCAGGCTCTCACTTAGCATAACATCCTGAAGGTTCATCTATGTTACATCACATAAAATTTCCCTCTTTTTAAACTTTGAATAATATTTCACTGTATGTATATACATTTTCTTTATCCATTCAGAGAATGCTTTTTTTTTTTTTTTTTTGAGAAGGAATCTCACTTTGTCACCCAGGTTCGAATCTCAGTTCGCTGCAACCTCCACCTTCCAGGCTCAAGAGATTCTTCCACCTTAGCCTCCTGAGTTGCTGGGATGACAGGCACATGCCTGTTAAAAAATTTATTATACCTAGCTAATTTTTTGTATTTTTGGTAGAGTCAGGGTTTTGCCATGTTGTGCAGGCTGGTCTCAAACTCAGCTCAAGCAATCTACCCAAGTTGGCTTCCCAGAGTGCCCTGCCTGAGAGCGCTTTTTTTGATGTAATAGATTTTTATCAATTATTTCATGATTTCTGGACTTAGTCAGTTTAAAAGGTCTTCCCCATACCAAAATTATAAAAAAGGCTTCTATTTTCTTTTGGTACTTTCATAGCTTTATTTTTTTCATTGATCTGTTTGGTATTTACGTGAAAAACATCCAATTTCATTTTTTCAGTTTTCCTGGCTCTTCCTCCTTTACTTTCTCTTATGAACTTTGGAATCAGAACGTCCAGTGCTTTAATTTATAAAATTAAAAAACATTGCATTGTTTCATTTGCTGAAGGTTGTTTTGTGTCTTTCACATAAATATTTCCTACTATGAATTTATTTCCATTTATCCTTGTATTTTCGGTAATTTCTGCTTCACCAAGATTGCTGTTATGTTATCTGACATACTGCTATTCACAGTTATTAAATTTTCATTGTATCCTTTAAGAAATAAGTGCCACTCTTTATTGTTTTTTAGTATGAATTCCATCTAGTATGTTAAAATCATGACACTCCTAAATTCTTTTCATTTGCATTTGCATCTTACACCTTTTCTCTTTTAAAATATCAATCTTTCACAATCACTGTCTTAGGCGTGTATCTTGTATAAACCACAGAGTTTTGCCTTGAATATAATCTAAAAATATTTTCCTTCTAAAGGTGAGTTAAGCATATTCATATCTTTTGTTAAGGACATGTTTGGGCTGGGCACAGTAGTTCACAAGGTCAGGAGTTCAAGACCAGCCTGGCCAAGACAGTGAAACCCTGTCTCTACTAAAAATACAAAAATTAGCCAGGCATGGCGGCGGGCACCTGTAGTCTCAGCTACTTGGGAGGCTGACGCAGAATGGTTTGAACTCAGAAGTCGGAGATTGCAGTAAACCGAGATTGTGACACTGTACTCTGGCCTGGGAGACACAGTGAGACTCTGTCTCAAAAAAAAAAAGAGAGAGAGAGAGAGAGAGAGAGAGAGAGAGACAGAGAGAGAGAGAAAGGCATGTTTGGTCTTAGGGCTACTGTGTCTTGTTATGTATGTGATTATATACAAATATTTTTTCACTAAGTGATGTTTCATTTTTAATGGATTTGCAGTTCTTTCAGTATTTAGGAAGGTTTATAGCTTTGTTCTAATGGTTACCTTTATAATTTCTATCTCTTTAGACAACATCTATTATTTCCTCAATATGAATAATGTTTTAAAATTAGCATGCTTCCTCTCCCACTACTCGATTTAATCAACAGTATTAAAACTAATAGCATTATCTTAACTGTTTTAGTTTTCTTTGTTATTTTAATGTTTCTTTTAAAGTGCTGGATATGTTTATAATTCTAATACTTGAAATATAAACTTTCAAAGAATGTGATGTTTAAACATCTTTTTCAACATCAGTTGCCCTATGGTAATCATAGGGCAACTCCTTCTCTCAAATTTTATTAGTTTAATCATTTCTATATCATCAGCATATTAACATCATGTTCTGTCATTATGATCGCCACATTTTAGTCTTTTTTTTTTTTTTTTTGAGACAGAGTCTCACTCTATCACCCAGGCTGGAGTACACTGGCATGATCTCTTACTGCAACCCTCTATCTCCCAGGTTCAAGTAATTCTCGTGCTTCAGCCTCCCAAGCAGCTGGGACTACAGGAGTGTACCACCACCACGCCCAGCTAATTTTTATATTTTTGGTAGAGATGGGGTTTCACCATGTTGGCCAGGCTCGTCTCAAACTCCTGGCCTCAACTGATCTGCCCGCCTTGGCCTCCCAAAGTGCTGGGATTACAGATTTGAGACACCACACCCAGCCCACATTTCAGTCTTTACGTCTACATATAAATTCAGTGTGTGAGCACTGAATTTGCTTACACACTGAATTTATATACAGATCATTTCCCCACGTCTGTCAGCTGAAGTTTATATTCTTGTATTTTCCTCAAGAAGGCTCACATAAACAATTATTCTGAGTACTATTTTTTTTCTTTCTTTTTTTTTTTTTTTGGTTCTTTTTTTTTTCTTCTTTGATTACTATTTGTTCCTTAAGAACAATGTGACTGGATATAAAATCTTTAGCTCGCACTTTACTTTCTTATAAATGTTGTTCCACTCGTGTTGAATGTTGTGCAGAATTCTAAGGCCAGGCAGATTTCAAAGTTTTATGAATGACTTGGGGTGGAGTAGTTAGGAAGGTGTCTGGCTGTCCAAAGGAAATCTTTAAGATCTTTCTGGTCAGTTTTCCCTGGCACAGATGCCCTTTCAACATGTAAGTTTCAGCTGAGTTAGTTTTTCTTCTATTGTGTTTTTAACCACTTGTTCTGTTGTGACGTTTGGTTTTTCTTCTATGAGGGTTTCAATTCTAAGTTTGTTGGATCTACTGTATTTTCTAACACTTAAAAAAAACACTTTATTTCTGTATTTTAAAATCCCTGTGTCTCTTATTATGTTTTCCTTGGGGCTAGTCTGCTTCTGTGCTCCTTATTTCATCTGCATTTCTGTACTTTTTTTTTTTTTTTTGAGACAGGGTCTTCCCTCTGTTGCCCAGGCTGGAGTGCAGTGGCATAATGTCAGCTCATTGCAACCTCCGCCTCCTGCCATCTTCCCACCTCAGCCTCCCAAGTAGCTAGAACTACAGGCATGAGCCACTACACTCAGCTAATTTTTTTTTTTTTTTTTTTTTAAGAGACAGGGCTTTGCCAAGTTGCCTAGGCTGGTCTGAAACTCCTGAGCTCAAGTGATCTCCCTGTCTTAGCCTCCCAAAGTGCTGGGATTACAGGCGTGAGCCCTCATCCCCAGTCTTCTGCTTTCTTCAACTTCTTTCCCAAGTTCTCTCAACTCACATTTTATATCCTCCTGTTGCCCTGCCATCTCTTTTCTGAGTTCTTACCATTACTGCTTTGTAATCTTCTTTTGTAGAACTATTTACAGCTTGACTCAAGTCTAAAAAATAGATGGTGAAATACTGGGTCACAATTTTCATCTGCTGTGTAGCAACAATTCACTATTGACTGTTCTCAGTGTTTGGGAAGTTTTGCTGCCATATCAGCTTCTTTTGTATTTTGCATAACAGAATAAACTGGATTTTCCTGAAGCAGCTATTAACACAGATTCCTGGGAATGGGAAGGAATGGAAATACAGGCTTCACAGGAAAAAGACTCTCTACTCCTTTGATGCTATAAGTAATAGTGTGTGGGCTCTTCTGCCGCTCTCCAACCAGTGCCCTGTGCATTGCCTTCTCCTGTATCCCCTGATCTAACTCATTTCTCTCTTTCAATCAACCTCAGATCAAGCTGCCACCAAAATGCAGATTTCTGTAAAAACCCTTATGGGGAAGACCATCACCCTCAAGATTGAACTCTCGGATACAACAGAAAATGTAAAGGCCAAGATCCAGGATAAGGAAAGAATTCGTCCTGATCAGCAAAGACTGATCTTTGACAGCAAACAATTGGAAGATGAACATAATTTGTCTAACAACATTCAAAAGGAGTCTACTCTTCATCTTGTGTTGAGACTTGGTGGTGGTGTTAAGGAATAAGTCTTATACCACTCCCAAGAGGAATAAGCACAAGAGAAAGAAGGTTAAGCTGGCTGTCCTGAAATACCATAAGGTGAATGAGAATGGTAAAATTAGTTGCCTTAGTCAGGAGTGCCCTTCAGATGAATGTGGTGCTGAAGTGTTTAAAAAAGCAAGCCACTTTGACAGATATTATTGTGGCAAATGTCTGGCTGACTGCTTGAACAAACCAAAAGATAAGCAGTTGTGTATGAATTAATACATTTTTCGGCCAGGTGCAGTGGTTCACGCCTGTAATCCCAGCACTCTGGGATGGGGGTGAATTACCTGAGGTCAGGAGTTCAAGACCAGCCTGGCCAATTTGGTGAAACCCCACCTCTACTAAAAATAAAAAAGTTAGCTGGGCTTTGTGGCACACACCTATTAATCCCAGCTACTTGGGAGGCTGAGGGAGGAGAATCACTTGAACTCAGGAAGGCAGAGGTTGTAGTGAGCTGAGATCGTACCATTGCACTCCAGCCTGGGTGACAGCAAGACTCCACCTCAAAATAAATAAATAAATCATTTTTTAAAAAATACAGAGAAAAGCTAGTTCCTGTACATGGTTGCTCTGTGTGCACATGCGTGGTTTTGTACAGCCCTACTTTGTCTTTTCTGAATCAAATCAGGTACTTCTGCCATCATACCCGGTCATTACAAACAAGAGATTTAGCTTTTGAACTTCAATGTGAACCCCTCACCGTCAGTAAGTATATTTAAACTAATAGCTTCTGTCCCTTCTCAGATGTTTTTGATAGCCCTCAATATACATAATCTGGAGTTTATATATAATGTCTTTCAGTTCACTGAAAACAGAGGTTGATGCATTTTTCTTCTTTTTCACAATTTCTAGAGAAGATGCACATTTATGCATCTATGTTCATTCTAAAAGTATGATTATTAATTGCGTGTATGTTTAACTTATCATTGCTGTCTTCGAAGAGACAGAGAATCTCAATGCTGAAACTCACAGCACCATCCTGCTCCTTACAGTGTAACTTCAGGTAGTTGTATTTTTTAAAAGCTTTTACATGGGAAATGATTATTGACGCGTTATAATACAGTAAGTAAAACTTCATTCTGGCTGTATAATCAGAAACACATGGATTCTAATGCTAAGGTTGCCAATTACTAACTTGTGAATTAAATTCAGTAAACAAAAGTTTACTCTAAAACAAGTTCTTCTTGTTACAAATAATATATAAATTCTATTGTGTACTGTAAGTCCATATAACGGTATCAGACATCTATTAATGAAGAAAACACATTCTGGTAAGAATACAGAAACTTCATTACCTAACAGTATTATAAAGAAAGCATTCAGGAGAGTGAACAAGATAAGCTTACTATATAAAACATTTATCAAATAAATATTTACTGGTAATTCTTCATTAAGCATAAATGACCCTAACAACAATGGTAAATGACAGCAAACACCTGAGGTTGGGATATGGAAAAGATATCAAGAAGACATAAGACACATAAAAGGAAGCAATCAAATACTGAAGTCAAGCAACTACTGAGTTTACAACAGTGTCAAAAAAAAAAATTGCAGTAGTAATGCATATGGCTCACTCAAGAACAACGTGTAGGCCAGGTGTGGTGGCTCACGCCTGTAATCTCAACACTTTGGGAGGCCAAGGTAGGTGAATCATCTGAGGTCAGGAGTTTGAGACCAGTCTGGCCAACATGGCAAAATGCTGTCTCTACCAAAAATACAAAAATTAGCTGGGCGTGGTGGTGCATGCCTGTAATCCCAGCTACTCAGGAGGCTCAGGCACAAGAATCACTTGAACCCAGAAGACAGAAGCTGCGGTGAGCCGAGCTCACACCACTGTACTCCAGCCTGGGCAAGAGAGGAACACTTGGTCTCAAAAAAAAAAAAAAAAGGAACAATATGTAGATGAGTTTGTCTAAGAAAGAATCTTATAACAGAAAAATGACAGCCAAAGCATAGAAGACTTGGAAAAGATTGTTCCATAGGTGACAGAGTAAAACCATGAAAAAAAAGACAGTGCCTAGTTCCTCCCCGCCCCCCACACCAATGCCAACGTAAAGTGAACTGAGAGATGAACAGAGTATGACAACACTGTAAAAATTCTGTCCTGGTAAATCTTCCACTGCCTTTGGCCCATTCCCTCTCATTAAAGAATATCCTTTTCCCCTACTTTCCTCTATCTGTGGTACACTCATTCCTTAACATAGTTTATCTACACCCACTGTCTCTGAACAGTCCTTCCAAATCATTTCAGCCCTAAGACTAGCTGCCTGTCTATTCTCAAGTAACTCATGTATTCATTCATTCAATAACATTTAACCTCATGCATTAATGATGGGATTATAAATTATGCAACCTTTTTCTGGAAAACATATTTGGCAACATTTACCAAACTTTAAAAGGCAAGGCCAGGCGCGGTGGCTCATGCTTGTAATCCCAGCACTTTGGGAGGCCAAGGCGGGTGGATCGCAAGGTCAAGAGATCGAGACCATCCTGGCCAACACGGTGAAACCCGTCTCTACTAAAACTACAAAAAATCAGCTGGGCATGGTGGCGCGTGCCTGTAATACCAGCTACAGGAGGCTGACGCAGGAGAATTGCCTGAACCCAGGAGGCGGAGGTTGCGGTGAGCCGAGATCGCGCCATTGCACTCCAGCCTGGGTAACAAGAGCGAAACTCCGTCTCAAAAAAAAAATAAAAAAAAATAAAAAAAAATAAAAAGGCAAATATTCCTCCAAATCATCAAAATGTATATATTAAATAAGTGCATTTAAAAATATATCAATTATACCTCAATAAAGCTTAAAAATAGAAACCCTTTAACCCAATAACTCACTTTTAAAAAGTAAATCTTTCGCCGGGCATAGAGGCTCATGCCTGTAATCCCAGCACTTTGGGGGACCAAGGTGGGTGGATCACCTGAAGTCAGGAGTTTGAGACCAGCCTGACCAACATGGAGAAACCCCGTCCCTACCAAAAATACAAAATTAGCCAGGCGTGGTGGCGCATGCCTGTAATCCCAGCTACTTGGGAGGCTGAGGCAGGAGAATCGCTTGAACCTGGGAGGTGTAGGTTTCGGTGAGCCGAGACCGCACCACTGCACTCCAGCCTGGGCAACGAGTGAAGAGTGAAACCCCGAATTCAAAAAAAAAAAGGCGACAAGAACCTGTCTCGGAAGAAAAAATATATAATATATATATTTTTTCAAAAGAACAGTTAAGAGTTACCTCTGGGAAATAAAGAACAAAGAAAATAAAATAACTGGCTTTCCCCTTTAAATTCTATGTCCCGTGCTGGTGGCTCATACCTGTAATTCCAGCACTTTGTGAAGCTGAGGTGGGAGGATCGTTTAAGGCCAAGAGTTCAAGACCAACTGGAAATAATGCAAGACCCTGTCTCTATAAAACACTTTGTGGGGACAGGCATGGTGGCTCATATTTGCAAATCCCAGCACTTTGGGAGGCTGAAGTAGGTGGATTGCTGGAGCTCAGGAGTTCAAGACCAGCCTAGGCAACATGGTGAAATCCTGTCTTTACAAAAAAAAAAAAAATTAGCCAGGCATGGTGGCACATGTCTGCAGTCCCAGCTACTTGGGAGGCAGAGGTCACAGTGAGCCAAGATTGTGCTATTACATTCCAGCCTGAATGACTGAGACTCTGTCTCAAATACACAATTAGCCAGGCTTGGTGAAGCATACCTGTACTCCTAGCTACTGGGATGGGTGAGGCAGGATGATCTCTTGAGTCTAGTAGTTTGAGACTACAGAGAGCAGTGACTGTGCCACGGTGCTCCTGCTAGGAGACAGAGTGAGACCTTGTCTTAAAAAAAAAAGAAACCTTAAAAAATAAAAGATTATATATATCTGTATTCTTTCTTTAATTCACTTAATTAAGAATTTCTAGGGTGCCCGGCACTAATGATCTATACTGCTGGCACTTATATCTTTTGAGATAGTATTCCATGCTCCCATCTACCCCTGGGAACTATAAACAGAATAGGTCCAACAATTCACTAAAATGAAAAATGACTAGAATGGTGACATAAT